GATGAAGCGACGATACCACGAGGCGAGTCCGAGGAAACGTCGGAGTTCTCGGATATTTTGTGGTGCGGGCATCTCGCGTACTGCGGTGACTTTGCTGGGATTCCTTCGGATCTGATGATGTGGCCCAAGTAGTGCAATTTCTGCTGCACAAAGCTGCATTTTTCGAAGTTAATTTGCATTTGGTGTTTCTGAAGCCTTTCGAAGACTTCGCGGAGGTACGACAGGTGTTCAGAGAAGGTATCGCCTAGTATGATAATGTCGTCCAGGTATGCGAATACTTTAGGTTGCAGGTCGGGTCCGAGAACGGAGTCGAGAGCGCGTTGAAACGTTGCGGGCGCGGAGTGTAGTCCGAAGGGCATCACTCTCCATTGGAAAAGTTCTCGACCAGGGACGGTGAAGGCGGTGTATGGTCGTGAGCGCTTGGCTAAAGGTATCTGCAAATACCCATTTTTGAGGTCGATCGTGGAGATATATTTTGCTTCCTTCAACTGATCCAAGATCGCTCCAATCTGGGGTAACGGGTATGCGTCTGCTTCGCTGGCGGCATTGAGCTGGCGGTAATCGATACACATGCGCCAACTTCCTTGCTTTTTCCGAACTAAGACGATGGGGGAGCTGTATGCGCTTTTGGATGGTTCAATCCTTTCCCCCGCAAGGAGCTCGTCCACTTCGGCGTTTATCACCTGCTGCATGGCAGGGTTGCGTGGATAATAGCGTTGTTTCAGTGGGCGATGATGCCGGAGTGTGATCTCGTGTTCGGCGGCGGTGCTGGGCCCGGTGATTTTGGAAAATCGCTCTCTGTGAGTTTCCAAGATATCGGCTAGTCTTTTATTTTGTTCCTCGTTCAGGTGTGCCCTTTCAATTAGGCTGCATAGTATCGAATCTCGGCGGTGGGGCGGGAGCTGGTGGCTGGTTGTCTAGTGACACGACGATGCCACGCTTTGCCACGCTTTGCCAGGAAATCCATTCCCAATACCATTTTTTCAGCCAGATTGGAGATGACGGCCACCAGTGTGTTTGTTGCTTGGCCGTTATATTTAATTTGGACAGGATAGGAATGGGTGCTTGCGACGCACGTTTGGTCGGCTAGCTGCACGTTTTATTTGTTGGGATGTGGCTGAATATTGCGCTGTTCCAATTGCTTGCGTAGATATCCGTTGATGTATGTTAAGGTGGCTCCAGTGTCGATTAGGGCTCGGACGTTCATGCCTTCGACCAGGACGTTCGCATAGAAGCGGCCATCGGGGCCTTGCCAGCCTGGTTGAGACGTGGTTGGTCGATCGGTGGGTTACTTGAAGATGGCTGTCCTCTAATCGTGACACAGGAAATTCCTGGAGAGGGTTCCATCTCGTCCGGTGGTGTCCGCGCTTTTTGCACCTCTAGCAGGTGTTCTGTGCATCGTATCGTTCACCTAATGTGGATAGGCAGTGTGCTGCTTGCCTGATTTGCCTGATTGTTGAGGTTTTTACACATGCGCCTGCAGAGCTGGTCTCTGCTCGGGCGCCATTTATGAGGTGGGTTTTGTCGAAGGCTGAGGTATGCTCAGCTGCTCCAGAGCCCAGCGAATGTCCCACTAACCCACACCAAATAAAACACACACGCGGCTATCTAGAAGGCCGGCAACTTGTCGTGCAGGGGAGAGCGGAAGGTAAAGAGCGAGAGTCGGTGTCGGAGATTATCCGGCGACGTGAGTGCTACTAGTGACAGCGAGATTAGCAGTGGTACGCGTTAGTCGTAGCGAAGGGCGTGGAAATGAGAGCAGTCGCGGTGGTTGTGACGGCGATGGCGATGGCTGCGACGGCAGCCAGCAGTTCCCTTGCAGTGGTGGTGGCGGCCTCAGCGGTGACGTTGGCAGTGGCCCATATAATGATGAGGGCGGCAGCAACCTCCCGCAGTGGTGTTGTATGCGGCCCTGATTGTGGCGAAGGGTAAATGCGGCCCCTTTTAACTACGACGGTGACAGCGGTACTGGGCGATGATGGCAGTGGCGATTACCGTACTCGTGACGGGTAGTAGTGGTCGGCCTGGGGCGACGATAATGGCGGCGGCCCCAGTAATGAAGACAGTAGCAGCGGGCCCTGATGGTGGCAACGGTGACAGCGGCCCTGGTTGGCGATAGTTATAGGGAATTTACATGAGGCGATTTTTCAGGCGATTTTTAGTTGAAAGCAACAATCGCCTGGTGTAAACAACCTTTCAGCTAATCACTTACAATGAAGTTGGTCGGCTCCCTACTTTCGTTCAACTTTTGGTTCAACTAATCGCCTGTGAGAGTTGAATCATGTTAATTCCCTATTAGCGTTCGCGGTCCTCGGTGATGATGGCGGGCGACCCACGGTTGTAGCTTCGGCCTTGGGGCGGCAGTGGTAATAGCGGCCCCGGCGATGAGAGCAGCAGTACGGGCCCTATCGAGTTTAATTTAAAATTCCAAATGAAATTATGCTGTTTTTATTTGAAGTAAGCTAATTTTCTCTTTGATGTTTGAACTACAAAATCACTTAAATATAAAATTTTTTAAATTACAAAGTTGAAATTAACACAGTACAATAAACGACAGTAACACAAATACAAACCCTACAATACTCCCCCTTCTAGAGAATTAATGTTATATAAATTCAAAGTAACTCGTTTCTTATTTGATGTTGTGTTATTAATTGTATTAGTGTTTGTTTCTGGTATTAGTTCTGTTTCAATGATTGCCAAATCTTAACTCACCACAGTTGAACCCATCACACCCGTTCTCACCACACCTCAATTTGGGAACTGTTTCTGGATTTGAGACATTCGTAAGACTAAATCAGGATTTTCAAGACTATTTCGGGATTTTCGGGACTATTTTCGAAGCTATTTCGTAATTCTTTAGGGATTCCCGGAAGCTTTGTTTGAGATTTTCGGGATTCTCGGAACTCATATCGGGATTTTCGAAGCGACTTTCAAAATATTTAGGGATTTTTGGAACTAGTTTTGGGATTTTTGGGACTTTCGAGATTCTCGGAGTTAATAGTGGGACTTTCGGAAATATTTCGGAATTCTCGGGATTTTTGGGACTCCTGGACTTTTTTTGGATTTTTAGGACTAATTGCTAGTTTTTGGGATTTTCGGGACTATTTCCAGATTTTAGGGACGGACTTCGGATTTATGGCGTTTTCGCGATTCTCGGGAATAATTTCGGGACTGTTGGGACTTTCGTGATTAGTTAGGGATTTTTGGGCGTCCGGGACTATTTCGGGATTATCGGGAGTAATTTAAGTATTTTTGGGACTTTCGGGTCATTTTTCAGATTTTTGGGACTTATTTAGGATTTTTGCAACTTTCGAGTCTATTTCGAGATTGTCGGAAGGAATTTCGGAATTTGTGGGACTTTCGGGAGTATTTAGAAATTTTCGGGACTAATTTAGGAACTTTGGGACTTTCGGAACTATTTCAGGATTTTTGGTATTTTCGGGACTATTTCGTAATTCGCGGAACTGATCTTGCGATTTTTAGGACTAATATCGGGACTTTTGGGGCTTTCGGGAGTACATCGATTTTTTTGGGTCTTTTGTGGATTTTTGAGACTTTCGGAACCATTTCAGGGTTTTCAGGAATATTTCGGAATTTTTGGAACTAATTTCGGATTTTTGGGACTTTTGGGACTATTTCGGGGTTCTCGGAAATAATTTCGGGACTTTTGGGACCTTCGGCGCTATTTAGGAATTTTGGGGACTCTCGGTACTATTTCGGGATTGAAGGGAGTAATTTGGGTATTTTTGAGACTATTTCCAGATTTTTGGGACTCATTTAAGACTTTTGGAACTTTCGGGTCTATTTCGAGATTGTCGGGAGTAATTTCGAGATTTTTTGGACTCTTGGGGGTATTTCGGAATTTTTGAGACTTTCGGGCCTATTTCGGGATTCTCGGAATGATTTCGGGACTTTTGGGATTTTCAGGAGTATTTCGGGATTTTTGGGACTAATTTCATTTTTTTGGGACTTTGAGGACTATTTCAGGATTTTTGGGCCTTCGGGACTATTTCGTATTTCTCGGTACTGATTTCGGTATTTTTGGACAAATTTTAGGATTTTTGGGGCTTTCGGGAGTATATCGATTTTTTTGGTCTTTTTTGGATTTTTGCGACTTTGGGAACCATTTCAGGGTTTTCAGGGGTATTTTGGGATTTTTGCAACTAATTCCGGATTTTTGGGACTTTCGGGCCCATTTCGGCATTTCGGTCTCGGAACTGATTTCGGGCCTTTTGGGATTTTCAGGAGTATTTCGGGATTTTTGGGACTAATTTCGGATTTTTGAGACTTTCGGGACTATCGGGAGTAATTTAGGTATTTTTGGGACTTTTGGGACTATTTACTGAAGCATAATAAATTTTGCGCTTCCGATACAAGTACTTTTTTTCCGATACCTACTTGAAACGCAGTAAAAAGTATCGAGTAAAAAACTAGTTGGTAATGTGAGAAAAGTATCGAGTAAGTAATTGGATTAACTTGTATCGATTTATCCCTAGTTGTTCGTATACCTCACAATAGAAGTGCAAAACTATCGATAGTCAGCACATCGATAGTTTTCGATATTATTTTCAAAACTATGGATATATCGTCGATAGTATCGTATTTATATGGTTTTGGCTCAATTTTCGTATGAAGATTTCCTTAAGAATATATTCCGAAATTACGTTTCGATTACCTTGTAAACTGCTGGTCACTTTTTTAATTGTTTAACCGTTAAGTTAGAAGTAAAGTTATTGAAAATTTTAAATGAATTGAAATGGAATAAAATTGGGCGTACTGAAATTTTATAATTGTGGTTTTCGATATCCTACGTCATATATACGGCATTCATCAAGTAAATTTCAAATTTAGAAGAAGAAAACATTTTTTATCTGAGAAGTAATGGTTTTTATCTACCTTTTATTAAATAGTAAATAGTGGTGCATAGATAATCAGCCCTATCACTGAATCCATCGTAAGTTCGACTTTCGTAGAATCTACGAAATTGCGTTCACTGAATCCATCGTAAGCATGACTTTCGTAGAGTCTACGAATTCTAATTTCGAAATTCGTAGACTGCTTTCACTGAACCCACTCGAAATGTCAAATCGAAGAAATTTTCTACGACGAGTTTTAGTTGGCGGGAGAAAATTGAAATAAGCGAAAATAAAAATAGCAAATCCAACCAATACAATGTAAGTAAATTTGATAAAATTAACAAATTTAGTAAAAAATAAATTTTTAAATAATTTTTCACAGGTATAAAATTGGGACGACGCGACAAAAGTATTCCTGTTTGCTGGAAATGCTGAATGAGAAACCAGATATAGCACAAGGGTTTACTAGGTACTCAAAGGAGGAAGTGACTGCATTTTGGGAAAACGTTGCAAAAGAACTGAATAGTATTGGGCCGCCTATAAAAGATGTGTCTACGTGGAAAAAAGTAAGTCATTTTAGTCCATACACTTCACACCTTTAGTTCATACAATCTTGAAGCAGAAATATTTCAACTAAAGGTGGGCAGGGTAGTATGTACAAGTTCACAAAGTGTTTAAACAATCTAAGGGCCGGTTGCTCAAAGCCTGATTGACACTAATCACCGATTAACATCGTTATCGACGTTTTCGGCTCCATGCATATAACATGGAGTCGGTAACGTCGATAACGATGTTTTACCGGAGATTAGTGTTAACCAGACATTGAGTAACCGGCCCTAAATATTTTAGGTGTGGTGTTATTGGAAGTGCTATGTCAAACGCAAGCTCATGGAAAATAAAAGAGAGCAGACAGCTACGGGGGGCGGAAGAAATCGGCAGCATAGTTTTACAGATTTGGAGGAGGGAGTGATAAAGCTAGCAGCGTTAGAAGTCTGCACCTCAGGCTGCAAAAACACAGTTAGTGTCGGACTACCTGAAGATCCTCAGGAAAAAGGCCCCGAAACCGATGCTGATGTGTCCATGGTGTCTGAAGCTTGTGGTTCATCACTGCCACGGCGTACTTCCACTCCACAAAAACGAACGGACTCGGAAACATTAAACGTACTGAGAGAGCAAGTACAGATGCAAAATGAATTTTATGGAGGAAGCAAAGAGCATTTTAAACGTCAGGAAGAGAAGTTGGAGGATATTGCATCAAGTGTCCGCCGATTGTGTCGACTAACAGATAAGACGTACGAACTAAAAAAGTCTGAACTTGCTGAAATGCGACGACATAACCTTGCGTATTCAACTTGGTTGCTGAAAAAAATAGAATAAAGCAAGAAATGTTAGAAATAGAGCTAAGAAAATTAGATTTGTTAGATACAAATAAAAAAAACTAAGTGTGAATAAAATAACTAAATAACGAAATAAAATGAATTTCAAATAGTTTTGTTTATTTTGCTAATTAGATGAATATCAGTATTTATTATAAAAGTGTCATCAAAATGGATTGCCTAATCTGTGATGCGGCTTCATTAGTGCTAGTGGCTGCTGTTTCAGGGGCTTCGTTGAGGGATAATAGTTCTGGAACATATTCATTTCTATAACGTGGTAGTGCAAGCAAATGTTGTGTAAAGCCGCTGCCACGTTCACGATTTGGCTTACTTTTGAGGGTTCGTAGTGGAGTTCACGAGCTCTTAAAAGATATATGAAACGATTTTTTAAAACTCCAATAGTTCTTTCTACTATATTCCTTGCTTTTGAGTGTGCTTTGTTGTATACACTTTCTGGGCTACCTAATTGTGGTGCACGAAAAGGAGTCATTAACCATGGCTCCAATGCATATCCTGCGTCACCTATGAAAAATATCATAAATATCATACAAACATATGCGTACATCCATAGTAAATTTGTATGTACCTAATAATAAGCAATTCCTCTCGCCTTCTAAATATTTCCTCTCACAAAAGGACCTTGCACTACTCACATTCCATATGTGAGAATCGTGATTACATCCTGGGTTTTGTGCATTGACGTACCTTTTTCGCACTTCATTGTCACAAATCTTCAAAAATAAAATAAAAATGTACAAAAATTTTCAGTTTTAGTTTCTGCAAGCATATACTTACAATCATGGCATTGATGCTGAAGAAACCTTTCCGATTATAAAAAAGAAATTTGTCCTCCTTTGGTGAAACGATTTTTATATGCATTCCATCCACACACAAAATAACGCCCGGAAGCCTATACTTGGCATAAAAATGCCTTCTGGCTTTTTGTTTTTCTTCGTCTGTCATATTCAGATTTACCCAATGAGGACATAAGCGTGCTTGCAGGACTGCTAGTGTGGATTTTAAAATACCGGAAATCGTTGATTGAGCCATTGGTGCATCAAAATCTTTTTCAACGCCGTGGTGATAGCTGCCTTCCAAAAAGAAAGCGTAGCACAGATGCCAGGCGTGTGATTTGATTCATTGATGTTGACCTGGCGTGAATTGCGCTTCCCGCCTCTAACTCACCGAGCACATATGTGAAAGAAGCTTTGTTAAGTCTATAATTTTTTATAAACCTATTTAAAATAAAAAAACGTATCAAATAATTTGAAATAAAAATGTTTGTTTTAGTTACATAGCCTCGTCTAATTCAAGTGGATTACTCGCATCTCTTAGAGTTTTCCTTTGAATTTTTAAGTTATTCCTTTGATAATTTTCTTCTATTTAAGACGATCGCACAAGCTACGGTATCCATTTTAACAAAATATTAGTTTAAGAAGTTTTACAGCATGATCATTTTGCTTAAACACTTTGTTTACTTCACAACAGCTGATTTCGAATGGCCGTAAATTAACATTTGAGTTTGGCAGTTTTTTTTTCGAGTTCACATGGATTCAGTGATAGCGATTCTTTCGTATTTGTAGCGAACATTCGAATTCGTAACTTTTCTACGAGGGATTCAGTGATAGGGCTGAATATTGAAAGTTTTGGTATAAATTAATTTTTTATCAGTTTTTAGCGGTATTTTAAAAGATGCAAGGTTTTCCGTCATTTTCGAAATTTGACATTACTCATTTAAAAAAGTAGCAATCAAATTTTTAGTTCAACTTGGATGTTTAAGAGAAATGAAAAGAAAAGAATAAAACTAAAATAAATATTGAATCCGAACTGAATTCCGACTACCTTGACCCTTAGATAATAAACAATAAACGAGCGGATTGGAAACTAGGCCTTTCCAACCGTCACGAAAGCGCGACTGGGTGGATCGGAAACTCGGCCTTTTCGACCACCCAGGAGATACCAATAAATGGAGTAACCCAAAAAGAATAGCGCGGATTGGAAACTCGGCCTTTCCAACCGTCTACATAACTTCCAGAAAATTGCATGCGTTTATATTGACATAAAATAATTGCAGTGATAAAGAAATAAAGTTATTTAAAAATTTCCGTAGAGAATTTTGTATTTTGTATTTAATATTTAATATTTACATTTTAAATCTAAATCTAATTATAGAATGTTAAATCTTTGTTGCAATATAAGTCTAACAGACTGTAAAAAATAAATAAATAAATAAATGAATATGTTGTATACTTCTTACAAAAACTGAATTAATGTAAAATAATTACAAAAAAAAAGCTTACAAACCCTAAGTGCGGCCGACGCCGCCTACGCAAAAGGTGTTCTCTGCAAAAGGTGTTCAGTGCCTTTTCTTCGCAACACAGAAAGATAATTCTACGTTGTGAGGGTTATAATCCCTAAGTGCGGCCGCAGGCCGCCTACGCAGAAAGGTGTTCTCTGCAAAAGGTGTTCAGTGCCTTTTCTTCGCAACACAGAAAAATAATTCTACGTAGTGAGGGTTATAATCCCTAAGTGCGGCCGAAGGCCGCCTACGCAGAAAGGTGTTCTCCGCAAAAGGTGTTTTTTTATAATTATATTACATTCATTCAATTTTTGTAAGAACTATACAACATATATATAAGGTACGTACACCAAATTAAAGGGAATCAAATTTCCTATTAAAAGAGATCAAGATCCATCCATCCGTTTTTAAGAAATCTTGATTTCAAAAGTTGCTTATTTTGAACTTTAACCATTGATAATTTTTGTTGTTGTTGTTTGCCCAAAAAAAGAAGTATACCGTTATACTCAGCTCAATCATCTCTATCGATTCCAATATAGTTTTATTTTTTTTTTGAGATTTGGAACCCAACTGCATTTGTTCAAAAAATAAAAAAACATCGATACTATCGATAGTGCCATCGATAGTTTAGAGGTGCAAAACTCACAATATACAAAAATCTATCATCCCTATTCTGTAATTCGTCGTAGTTTCGGTTTTGCTACGAATCGTAGAATTGGTATGCTGCTGATTAAAGACTGCGCATTTCACTATTTTAGTTGGCAACGCAATTTTTGAATTTTCGGAGCCGAGCCACGAATTCGTAACTACGAACTTTCGGATTACAGCAAACGGGTGTATATAAAAACACCACTCGCCGAAAAAGACGGCTGGTTTCACCGTCTCAACTTAAGCTCTGATCCGATACTTTTCGTGAAAAATCCTGTAAAACTGTCAAACAGCAAAATTACTCTGAAGTGAGAGTAAAAAGTGAGTAACAACAAAAAGTACGGGAACAAAAAGACCATTTTTCCTGTAAAAACGTCAACCAGTGATTGCTTGACACTTCATGATTTTACCAGAGCTTTAACTTAGTTTAGCCAGTTTTTGGACTTAAAAGCTGGGTTATGCAAGACTTAGGGCTGGTTTCTCCAACTCAACTTAACTTACCGCCTTATTCCCACACCACTGACAAAACTCAGCGGCTGACTATTGCATTTACTACTGCGCCTAATACTATGCCGCAATTTATTTTAAGCTATCGTATGACAATTGTCAGTTTTATTGTTATGACCTACTGAGTAAGTGACAACGGCGAAACAATGTTTATATTTAGGGGATTCACAAGACGTGTTAACCGTCGTAAAATCTTAAGCTTAACATTTTTTTTATGTAAAATAACAGTTAAAATGGTTTTAAGGGGGCTAATTATATATTTTTATCGAATTAAAAACATTTCGGTGTAGTTATAAATCCTCTAAAAGCATTTTAACGGTAATTTTATATATGTAAAAAAAATTGGCTTAAAATTTTACGACGTTAACACGTCTTGTGAATTCCCTAATTGTGTTTTAGGCGCAGTAATTGTGACAATAGTCATATGATTAATTTTGTCAGTGTTGTGGGAATAGGGCGGTTAGTTTAGCCACTTTTCGGACTTAAGTCAAAAGTTAGCCTACGTTTTACACAGCTTATTCTTGACTAAGTCAAGAGATTTGGCTTAACTAAGTTAAGTTGAGTTGGAGAAACCAGCCCTTAGACTTGACTTGACTTACCTAGAAACTTAGAAACGATTACTCGTCGTGTCACCTATTACCTTTTCTTTTTCTTTTCAATATCAGCACTTGTATTTGTACACCTAAATTGCAAACGTTTAATTTGACTTTACACCAGAATGAATACAAAATTACCAGTAAAAAAAATGTATTTACGAGCATGATAAAAACATTACAAGGTAAATTCATTCTCTCATTTCATCGGCCATGATTTTTTTCTGACGTTTGCCAACATTTTAAAATCATAAAACTGAAAATAAAAAAATTAAATTGTTCACAATTGTTGTTGTTTGAGATTGAAAATGAGATTGTGTGTGTGAGTTTGAGTTTTGATTTTAAAATTATATTGTTGGCAAACGTCAGACTGCCTCTCAATGGTTTTACCTTGTTATGTTTTTATCATGTTTACGCGTATCGAATTGTGATTTCTTTTATTATATTTTCTGTCTTTATTTGAAAGTTTGTTTTTCGTTTGCCAGATGAATTACATTTATACAAAAAAATTTTTTTATGTGGCATATTTGTAGGGATTTTATTAAAAAATGAAATGGCAGCATGACTCTCTCAGGGCTCTCTTTGCACTTAGAAATCAAAAATCTATAGTTCTCCTAGTTTCTAAGTGAAGTTGTTTTTTTGGGTAACGCGCTGCTCATTTGCCAGATACACAATTTTCAAGTCAAGTCAAGTCTTAAGTCTTGCATAACTGAGCTTTAAGTCGAAAGTTAGCCTACTTTTTTTACACAGCTTATTCTTGACTAAGTCTAAAAAATTGGCTAAAATAAGTTGAGTTGGAGAAACCAGAGGGTCAATTCCCGTTCTGCGTTATCGTGCAGTGATAAAAATAACACCTTCACACCGCATTTATTTCGGTATTATTTTTATACTTTTCACTTCATTTCACGATAACGCAGAACGGGAATTGACCCTCAGCCCATAGAGTTATAGGCTCTGAAAAAAGGACAATGAGGCAGCTTGATGCTCTCTAGATCATACACGGACCACTAGTTCGTCGCATGTGTCACCAAGTAAGTTTTTCTTAAAATAAGGGAGCAACCTTAATAATCAAACAGCAAAGCGGATCCATTAATTTAGAAATTAATTCTTGAAAGGTTTGCTCCTAAGGTGGAATGTATTTGGAAGATTTCTAGGGTAGACGGCGCTTTATTTGGCCTGCTACTTTAGGGCCTTCGTAAAAGGAGTAATGGAGAATCGAATAACTGTTCACCCGTTATCACACGATCCGACGGCAGCATGGAAAGAGATTTCAAAATTTCAACGTGTTGTTAAAATATCATTAAGTCGACCGCTAGCAGAAAAGGATTCCAGAAAGGTCCGTGTCGTGTGTATGAGTGATACACATTCTTTAACTTCTTATTTGAAGTTTGATATACCAAATGGCGATATATTTATTCATGCCGGTGACTTCACTAAATGTGGTCGACTTCAAGAAGTTATTGAATTTAATAACTGGATTGCTACACTTCCTCATAAACATAAATTAGTCATAGCGGGGAATCACGAGCTAAGTTTTGACAAAAACTTTACAGAATTCCTTGACGGATCCCATAATAGTCGGTATGTCTATTACACCTATATCGTCGTTTACAGTACAAAACCGCGTATCAACAAAATGCAAAACCGCGTATGTGAGGTTGCATAAATTATTTTCTAGAGAGTAAAAACACTCACATTTCAAAATAGATTAGTAGTGCACTTTACGGGAACCATGTCAAAATGGACGGAACAAGTTGAGAGTGGTATCAATCGACGCGTTTTAACTCGCACAATCCAGTGGGATAATTAAGATTTTTAATTAATTTAACAGTTATTCACAAAAAACACGCACTGCACTTTTCGCACCATGTTTGGATGAATTTGATGCAAATAAATGGATTAAATGAAAGTTATTCTCTGCAATAGGTGTTCGGCCCCCCTTCTTTGGCAACACAGAAAGGAGAATTCTACTGCCTGAGGGTTATAATCCCTAAGTGCTGCCGAAGCCCGCCTACGCAGAAAGGTGTTCTCTGCAAAAGGTGTTCAGCCCCCCTTCTTTGGCAACACAGTAAGGAGAATCTACTGCCTGAGGGTTATAATCCCGAAGGCCGCCTACGCAAAAAGGAGTTGGACGCCTGGTTCCGCTAAAGTGCACTTTTACCCAAAATAGTTCTATTTTTAACAGAGTTCTAAAGAAGGTTCGTCGGAATCTTTTTTATTTTTTTATTTAGTTTTTATTTTTTATTTATTTTTTTATGTAGGTTACCGCATAACTTTGGACCACGTCAACCGATTTCGATAACTCTGCAATTTGCATCGGAAAGGTAGTGTCTCAAAGCTGGTCCCATAATAATCTGGCTTAGATCCGATCATTGGATCATGAAATATGTATAAATATATTTATATGTATTTTTATATGAGAATTGAAGTCGGTTTTGTTTTTTGCTTAAATATCGTTTATAAAGCAATCGCATTTCAGGCTGGTATATTTCTGGACGATTGGAAGAGGATTGAGCCAAGAGCTTGTGTGAGCAAATCCAATTTTTGGCAAAAAATGTCAGTTACGCGGTTTTGCAGAACGACGATACGCGGTTTTGTTCTTTAAACGACGATATATTATTTAACCTAAATAACCTAATATAATATGTATGTATAGTAATTTGTATTTCTTTAAATATGGATAGGACAAAACACACCGGACGCTTGAGTCTTGAAAATATGCCGATGTTGGGGAATCGTAGAGAGGACATTGAAAGCGCTTTGCAAGCAAAAAATATTCAGGAAGTCTTATCCCATTGTACTTATTTGGAGGACCAGTTAATTAATGTTATGGGAATTCGTATATATGGTACTCCTTGGCAACCAGAGTTTTGCAAATGGGCATTTAACTTGCCCCGAGGTGAAGCGTGCTTAACCAAATGGAATCTTATACCCGATAATGTAGATATATTAGTGACTCATACGCCTCCAGTCGGTCATGGAGATTTGTGTTGCTCTGGCATACATGCCGGCTGCGTTGAATTGTTAAACACAGTTCAGAAACGTGTTAAACCCAAATATCATGTTTTTGGTCATATTCATGAAGGTTATGGAATTACTTCAGACGGAAACACTATATACGTGAATGCATCAACTTGTGATATCAACTATATACCTAAGAATCCACCTATTGTATTTGACGTTTCCTTACCAGTTTGCGCACTTAGCGCATGATTCAATAACTAAAGGTTTTGTAATAAACTAGCATACTCGTTCCACATTATAAATCGGTTCTTAACTTGCTGGACCTTATGCAGCGTTATTGCTGCATTTAAAATGCAATATTTATTTATTTATTTATTACAGTCATTTGACCTATATACATTCACGTATATACATTTAAATTATGTATTGCAATATATAATAAAAGTAAAATTGGGAAAATTTTAGTTTGGCATCCCCCGCGTACAAAAAAAAGGTGGCTATGGGGGGGTAGGGGGAGTTCTCCTGATTGCAAATATATATACTTTTAGCCGCA